CGTTGCTGCCACTGCTGTCCCTGCTGCTGCTGCTGCTGCCGCTGCTGCTGCCTGATGATGGTGATCGTGGTGTTGCTGGTGCTGTTGCTTGTCGTTCTACGTCGCCTTGCTCTTGTTCGTCTTGAAGCTCACTTGAAGAACCCGGTTACCGAGCGTGTAACCGTTCAAGCTCTGGATGGCGACCACCGCCTCGTCATAGTTGGTCATCGTCACGAAACCGAAGCCTTTGCACTTGTTCGTCTGCAGGTCGCGGATCACTTTGACCGATTGGACGGCGCCGAACGGACCGAATAACTGCCACAGCACGTTCTCCTCGGTCTCTGGAGCGAGGTTGTACACGAAGATACACCAGCCGGAACCGTTCATCGCGTTCCCGGGTAGCATTGAGTTCGCCAGGAGATCGCCTGCCAGCGGGCTGTACCTGAAACAGTTTAGTTGATCGTGTGAAAACGTATGCCCATCGACGACCGGTATTGTGCTCGTGCTTTGGTCCATGGGTTTCCCGTTTTACCTCGCGCTCGCGTTACAAGGCAAGAAAAACGTTCTGCGCTCTGGCGGAGCAACGCCGTTAATCTACGCAATCCAACTGATCAGGATTGCTTTCGTTTCTGTTACACGGTACATAGTTATTTACGAAAGAAATTCTGTTCGTCGACGGCGCTACTCAACGCTGCTACCTTCTTCTTTGGCTATTCGTATGGAAGAATCTCGGACAAGATTCTTTTATTGCGAACAAATTTGATCGTGTACACGATTAAAGTGCCTCGAACAGATGCGACTCGACTGAAACACTTTCTTTCACAAAACACTAATTTTTCCTTCGATGTTACTGTCGCAAAAGAATCGTACGAATAAATTAAGTTCGTGCAAGTAGTGCCGTATAAAATCACTCGCGTCTTTTCATTCAACGAAAATATTCTACGTACAAACGAACCTGAACGGAAAGATAAACGACGTCGGTTATCCGACCAATAATCCCGGCGCGAAAAACCGTCACTTTCTTGCTAATTAATTTCGAAACGAAACCCTTGACGGGAAAATTAATCGTTGCGCAAGGCTGCATGCAATTGTACCGGTAAAAGCGTTCCAAATGAACAAGTCGCGTCTCGACGCTGGCTACCGGACGGAACTTTTAATTAGATAAAAAAACAAAAAAAAAAGACAAGAGACAGGGAACGAGAGTGATGGTGGAACGAAAGGAGCGAGAAAGCGGGAAAAATCGCGAAATAAAATAGGGAAAATTCGCATGCAAACGTTCGTTAATCGGCATGCTGAAAGTTACGAAACGGCGGATGTGAAGGTGAAAAAACATCGAGGCAGGACATATTTACAGAGATGTAAAAATGTAATCTACGTACCTACTTGACGTCACAAGCCGCGTTAAAACAGGGCACATCTCAGTGAGTATTCATTATAGGGTCGAGATGACAGTAATTAAGCAGGCATTCGTTACGAACGCTCGTTAGGAACCGCGTCTTTTATACGCACGCGTATGTACAACGCGATTTCGTTGGTTGGGGTGGCTTTTTCTTTAACGACACCTCGAATGAACCCCAAACTCGATTCATCGGTATCTCCCTTCCTTTTTTGCCCCCCACCCTCTTTTTCTTTTTTAAATTCATTCATCTACATTTTATCCAGAGGATATCTTCTTCTTTTTTATCTGTTTTTTAATTGTTTGCTAGATAAATCAGTTGCTCGATATCTATAATCGAATCTAAAACCATTGATCAAGTTAGAGGTTCGATTGGATCAGGTTGCAGAACAGAGACGTTCCTTCGTGAAAGAAGAATCCACGTTTCCTTTTAACTAGCCGATACGTACACACTCGTTCGACTATCGTTTAATATTCCGAGGATTGTCAGAAACGTTCGATCGGAGCAAATCTCTCTTGAACCACGGAGGCATGGATTCTCATGTCGCCTATGCAAATATCAAAAGTAATATCGCAATTTATTTGGTCGACGATCGATCGTTTCTAAGGCTACGAAAGTCGACACATCGGTGCGTTGTTTTCTAACCATAATCAAGTGCGATTCTCTTGCATTGGTGTGTGCCAACAAAAATACATATACCTATATATTTATACATATACGTATATATATACGGTTCACGTGAGTTCACGTAATTGCTCTTTCAAAGATCGTGCGCCTAGCCTCGCTCCTAGCTCTCCGCCAACGATTCAGTGACACGTTGATCTTTCAACAAATATCGCTGCTTTATATCGTCGTTGTTCTACCATCGAATTAATTGTACTATCGGCGGATGCAAACTGAATCATGTCTTTCGTGTATTGTTACGTTGTGCGTTCATTGGAACTCTTATTATCATTTTTTTGTTTTCTTTTAATTACAGACAACTCATCGTGCGCTGATCTAGCCCAACATTCTTCAGCTTATTCGTGTTTTCAAATAGAGGGGTCGACTCTGATCGTCGGCAGAGAGGCCGAGAAATCGCAGGTGCACGATCTCGAGTCGAACACGATCGATGAAGGCAAAGAACCAAAGAAAAGAAACAGTGAAGTAGGAGAAGAAAATGCGAGCTTGTCGAGGAACGTTGATTCGAGTCTCTATTTGCAATATTTTTCTCTGTTCTTTGTTGTATTCTTTTTATTTTCTTGCCAGGCATGGCGACCCGTAGTTTCGCGAGAATCTGTTTAATCTGTTTTATTCTTCTTTCGACGACGATTGAAAAATCGGTCGAAATCCGTCTGTACAGTCCTAGACTATGTTACTTTTGTCAGGATACTATACAAAAGCTTGAAAGCTAGCGGGTAAAGAGGAAAAATGAAAATTCTACGGTTATTTCTAATATCGGTTAAATCAGAGTGAAACTTAGATCTGACTCGCGAAACTCAGAATAAATTTGAAGAACCTCCGACAGAACGTAGAGATGATTTAGAAAAAACAAACGAGGTAATTGAAAAAAGAGAGTAAAGGCAATTTTCTTTTCTTTTTTTTTTTTTTTCTTTTTTGTCGTTCGTGTATCGAAGGAAATGAGAAACGTTATGAATTGAGATTGTACACCCGAATCGATTCGCATTCTCGAGAAAGCGCTAAGATATGCTCTGTGACGTTTGGTGGATAGAGAAGCGTTTGAAGGACAACAATTAAACGGAACGAAAGGCAACGAGAAAGAAGAGAAGAGAAAATAGAATAGTGTGAGGCGAGGGGGAAAGAGAAAAAGGCTTTAAAAATTTCATATAAAATATAAAACGTGGCCGTTTAAAAGAACGAATCATAAGATTGAACGGAAATCTCTAACGATAACGATGAAGATTTTCGTTTCGATTCGATATTTGACTTATTCCGAATGAATTTGATATATTATTAGTATCGTGATTAAATATAATTCAACTGTATTGATAACAATTCGTAAAAATGAAATGAAAGTCGAATGAAAGATGGTGTGACCATATGAAATTTTTAACGCGGAGCGTGTGTGGAAGGTAAGAGAACGAAGCCACGCAAGAACAGAAATCAATCATCGAAAAATGAAAAACCGGGAGGGAACGTAGTGGTAGTAACGAAAAAAATACTGACCTCTGTAAGCCTTTGTTAATGGCAAGCATGGCCTTGCCAGTGCTAAAACAAAACACAAAAAGAACAACGTAAGAAGAGAGATACTCCGGGAATGAGCCAATAAAATCGGGATAAGAGTCAGTCGCTTCCTTGTGCTTCCGTTTTATCTTTTTCTCTGGCATTCTTTTTTCTTTTTCCTCGCACGGAACTACCATCTATGGTGCCTCTCCGTTTTCTTTTCTCATCGTGGATAACGCAACAGGCAGGGAGATAAAGATAGATTAAGAAAGAACTAGAGAAAACAAAGAGAAAAAAGAGAAAAAAGAAAAAAGATTGTCAAAAAAAAAAAGAAAGAAAATAAAATAGATAGAAAATGGAATTTCTCAGGTTAGCTTTCTCCCTTTTCTTGAGAGGAGAGGAGAGACAAGGAAGCGTAAAAAAAAAGAAAAAAAATAGATTGCGGCGACGCGGCATCGATCGAAAAGGAAACGATAAAAGTACGGAATAGAGGCAAGCGAAAAAAGCGAAGCGCATTAATCTACTTTTTCATATTTTTTTCCTATTTGCTTCTTTTTTTCTTCTTTTTTTTTTTACTGACACACTTCGAATCGTCGAATCTTCGTACGTGTTCGATTCGATCGATTTAACGTTACACGAGTCTTCCGTCATCAAGTTTACTCGCGTTTGACTGACATGGACAGACAGACGGACCTGAAGTACGCTCGATATCCGGTTGTTAAGCAAGTTAAATGACACGATGACATGATGAGGGAAAGTCTTTATCGTCATCTTCGTTCGTTATATCATGTCTCTGAATGATAATTTTTTTCTTATTTTTTTTTTTTTGTGATGGCACGCGTCGTGTTTTGCAGAGGCACAGAAACGCGGAACGAAGGAGAGACGAGAATTGCTTTTTCTAGTCTGTTTTGTTATCGACGTTTCTCAACTCCATTTTAATCGAATTCGTCGTCAGCCTCGCATCCACGGTAACGCATTTCCGAGATCCACGAAACCTTCCTCGCGTTTCTACGAACGAAAAATTATTCAATAAATTTTCTGTCACACATCGTCGTTTCAATCATACCATCGTGCTAGAAAAGAGTAAAATCGTTTCGACGAGCCAGCTTACCGTGGATCGCGAAGACCAAAACCAAGAAAACTTACAGAAATAACAGAACGTTTGTATGTGCCTTGCTCCTCCATGTTTCCAGAGTGGTCAAGGATCAGTCTTCTGTCTTTCATGCGCGATCAAATGCGATTTTTTTCTGGATCAATAGACTTACATCTAGGTAATTGGTAATTAACTTTGGAGACCACCTTGTACCACTCGTTCGTTGGGAAAGGGCGATTGGATAGGCGATGTTCGGAGGAATGGAATAAGAAAACGATCCAAGTAATAGAAGAAATCAAGGGAATAATCGCTGGTGCTAATGATACGATGAAGAAAGGCCGGACGACGTTCTACGTGTAACTACCAGTGATTTCAATTAACACGGGTCTCGATTAGATTAAACCTCGATACACGTTGTTTCATTCCCGCGTTTCACCGTGTGTCACAGCCGATCGTGAAATATTGATATCGCAACGTCGATTCTACGGTCGATTGAAAGGTTTCCAACGATTGCCCGACTGGTAGCACGTGTCTGGTCTACACATTTTCCTGACGCATATTTGCTCTGATTTTCTGTCGCGTGCATGAATTCTCTATCGCGTTTGTTAAATTTCGTAAGTATCACTGACAACGAAAGTGCAAAGTCGTTCGTATTGAAAATTTGACTTTTGATAACCGCGACGACCGTTCTTCGTGAAAGAGAACACGCGACATAAACTAAAATCTCGATGAGAAATGTGCGCTTAAGAGACGGGCAAGATGAAACTTTGATCGCGTTGAAACATGCTCACACGTAGTCGAACATCGAATAGACGAATCTAAGATGAAAGAGGGAAAAAGAAAAGGGAAGAAAAGAAATGAAAAGAAAATATGAAGACGAGGTAATATATCGTATGGTAGATGAGGTGCGTAAGGAGGAGCCTGCAGTGTACTCGGGTACTTAAACGGTGAGTGCGTAAACAAAGAGAAAGAGACAAACAGCGAATCGATCGACCGATCGTTTTAGACTCTACGGGTCACATCGTTGCGTGCAACTATCAAATTTAAACGTATAAATTTCTTCGTTCATTATCGATCGATCGATGGATCACGCCGAGTATGCGCTCTATCGAACGAGACGCTAAACAAACCTAAAAAATGGAACGGAAAAAAGGAACTGAATCGGAGAAAGGAAATGAAATTGAATCGAACTAAATGGAAATAGAAGAAGAAGAAGAAGGCGAAGAAGGTGAAGAAGAAAACAAGGTAGAAAAGAAGAAGAGAAAAAGAGTAAGAGAGAGATCTTTGGGTAGAGCGAGTAGAGGCGAGTAGGTACCTGGATAGTGGCGACAGTGGAATGTACCTGAAGCGGCCGGTTGGATGGTGGATCGGGCCGCCATATCGTCGGGTCGCCTGCGGTGCCAGATAGGCCAACGGCGGTATCGCCTTGTTGTTGTTACTCGGATTGTTGGCGAACTTGACGGTGATCGGCTCGGATGAGCCCTTCGGAACGGTACCGTTTAACTCTTGAATCGCCCTCTCGGCCTCGACCCGCTGGTCGAACCTTATGAAACCGACCCCTTTCGACAATCCTGTCAGTCAATCGGTTCAAGTTATTCATTAGACTATCGTTCTTTCACGTTTTTATCGAACGAATAACGGATACCGAAGATATGAGAACTTTTGCAGATTCCTCGTTGACTGTTGAGTGACTATGCGTACATGCGATTCTTGACGTTACGAGAAATCTCTCGATGATTCAAGATCTTCCAATCAAACTGTCGCTACGAGTTTCGTAGGTGTGGCAAAGGCAGGGTATTCGCATTGCGGATAATTTTGAGGGATTAAGCGAAGGAAAATGGACACTATTATTATTAAGAAAGTATTCTATGTATAGAAATACGTAAAACATTGGAACGCAGTTTACTTGGAAAATCTTGGAATCCTCAAGAAACGCAGTAACAATCAACCTTCTATGAAATCCATCAGCTACAAATCGTAATTGTTTAATAGAAACATTTCAATAGCAATCCAATTCGTCGAAGAAAGTTGCCTTTGCATTAACGATACTCGGCGATTTCTAATAAATCGATCGTGAATGCCAGCAAACCTTCTTCTTGTACTTTCCACCCCGTGATCAACGACGAATTCTGTGTAGAATGCAACCAAGTGCATTCGAACGAGTGGCTCGGTGCGCACAGATTCGTTTCTTTACACCGATGTCGTGTGTTCTCGAGTGAGTCGATCATGTTTTCTCTTTGAAGCGATACCCGCGAAGCTGAATGAGTTTGGTAACGCGGCAAAAAGGAGGCGAGAAGGTGTGCGTGTGCGTGTGCGTGTGTGTGCGCGCGTGAGTTTGTGTGTGTCTGTGTTCGTGTGTGCCATGGATCGAGGGCACGGTCGCAAAATCATAATCATAACAAACGACAAAAAGCGTAAAGAAACAAAAATGGCGCTCGGGATTAAAAATTTTGGTCTTGTAGCTGTTGTCGCGGTCACGTGAAAAAAAGCAGCCAATGAGAAAATCAAGAGGAAGTAATATAAAATTATAAAATTAAATAGGAGAGAACAAGAAGTCACTTGTCTTCTATTGGTTTCTCTTTTTCTTTTGTTTCGCATGGTTGATCGTTCGTTCCTCGCGAGAAATTCGTTCTCTTACTTCCTGTTCTCTCCGTTGCTAATAATATAAATTTAACTTAATCTTTTATATCGGTGACAGTCTAAGTAATTGTTTCGCGAGACGAACGAAAACCGAAGCATACGAAGGAAAACAATAGAAGAACAATTTAAAAAAATAGAAAAAAAATTGACTGAAAAACGGCTGCTTTTGTTTGAGCTTCGACGTAATGAGGGAAAAGAAAAAAGAGTTGTATGAGTTACGTACCGGGCAAATAGTCTCCGCCGCCGGTCACAAACTGTCGTACTAAACAGAAACGGAAAAAATCATATCACGTTAAAAGTCAACTGGCAGCATACACGATTCGCTCGCCCCTGATTCGTCTAGGTGGGAGGGTATGTAATAACGAATAACCGGAAGAGAGAATAAAAATTGACGAGAATAAAAGAAAGAAGAAAATAAGAAAAGAAAGTAGTAGAAAGAAAACAAAGGGAGAACGCTTTTTTCTCGAAAAGTATTGAATCTCGTGATCTTGAAATTACGATGAATTCAAATTGGAAGAAAGGAACAAATAAATAGAGCATGAGGTTTCAAATGGATTCAACACTAGGCACAGAGAAAAAAGACGTTCGATCTGGAAATAAATTTCGACAACGTTCCTCGTATGATATTCACTCTTTCATGATGTCGAATAATCAAAATAATCGGTGTCTGAAGAAACAATAAATCAAAATTGGTCGCAATGAGATGAATAAGGGGCGAGCGATCATTCTGTTAGATGTTTTACGCCTAAAAATTTCTTCGTCCTTAAGTATGTAAAGAAGTCTCGTTTTTGTTTGCTTTCTGTTCAAACAGTACTCGAAGATAAACTGAAAAATGCAAAGAAACGAAACGCAACAATAACGAAGAAAAGAAAAGAAAAAAAAAAGGAAAAGAAGAAAAACAGAAATTGATCGTTCGAATCGAGGATCGCACTGTGGAACGAGTGTAATACAGGCAAGCCAGGAACGAAGGAAGAAACAGAGGTGGGTTCCACGTACGATACGCATCCTAACACCAGTGTCGTAATAAGAAAATAAATAAAATTATGAAGCTACAAAGGTAGAACACCAAAAATTAATGACACAGTACGAAAAACAGGAACCAAAAAGGAACAAAAGAGAGAAACGAAAACAGAACTGATTAATCGTGCGAACGATGATAACGAATGTATCAAAATGAAAGGTAACAACTCACAATCAGAGGAACCAACAACGAAAAACGCCAATATGGATATAAAAGAAATGTAACGGTACAGGGTGGTTAGGCCATGAGGCTGTGCGTGAAACTGGGGATGCAAATAGAATGCACTGCTAACAAAAAAGTAAGCTGAGAACGTAAATAACAATAACGAGCGAAAAAAAGACAAAAGAGTATGGAATCAAAAACGAAAATTTGCGATCGTGTGTCCTCTCGAATGATCTCGAATACAAAGTGTTCTTTGTTACTAACTAAAGAGAAAAATGGACGAGAGAAAAAGAAAGGAAGAAAGTAGCAATCGTTAAACAGATCGGAATGAAAGATGCGTAAACGAGATCACGCAGCTCCGAGACGACATCGACCAACGAAAAGTGTATACAGCGTTCTCGTTCGCTGTCTAAAATTTAATTGAAATATTCGTCACTCGTTCACAACGATCGTGTTCGTTCTCGCTCTGATTGCAGGCGCACCGATCCACCCCACAATACGACTAAAACCCCATGGCCTACTTTTTATAATTCTTCGTCAAATTGTTCACCAAGCTTCCTAACGAATCTCCTTAATTGAACGGGCGCGAGTCTGATTCGCGCGGTCTCAATCTACTTTGCTCTTCGAACAAAGCGAAGGGAAACGGCATTTTCCCCTTAGAGCTGCCGAATTCCATGGCCTTCCACAGGGCTGATTACATTCTACTGGCCGATACGATCCTCGTCAGTTGTCAGGTAATTAGCAACTTACCGGTGATGTTGTCGCAAAGTATCCGCGATGTGATGATTCTGCCATATGGGTTGAATAGATTCTCCAGGTCTTGTTGCGTCATGTTCTTCGGCAAACCGCTCACGTACAGGTTTGCCCCTTTGATCGCCTCGCTGCTCGGTCTCGCGTACGATACCTGCCAAGGTGAACACAATTATACCAACCGATAGAAAAGTAACGCGAGTCAGAATTAGAAAAGTTCGTAGGTAAAAGCGTTATACGTGACTCGGAAGAAACTAGAGATAGGAGACACTCTACTTCGATCTTCTTTTTTCAGTGGATTAACATCATGTACGTGGTACGCGAGCGGAACAATTTTATCTGTTCTGGTGGAGTTAATAAATAGCAGATGCGATAGTGTCTTTGAATTCACGCCAGCCTATTTCCATCATCGCCACACCGTCTAATATCATGAATAATCTCGTTCGTATAACATATTTCAAATAATTAGCTTTGACAAAATAATGACTGCGAAGCGCGACTTCGCGAGAAAACGCAATAACGACAAGCTATTACAGATTTCCGCGAGCCTTTTGTTCCCGAGTTGTGGCTAATTTATTTCTGGCCAAACTATGTAAATGCGTTAATGAAAGGTTCCGTTACACTGGGATTAAAAGTAGACTCGAATTCGTGATAGCATATAACCCATGTAGTGCGTATAAATCAGATCATTCATGGGAACTTTAGCTCGCAAGTCGAGTATTTAATTCCAAATATATATATCTAAAGAAATCCTAATAAATAGATAGTTTGGTATGTCTAGAGATATTTAAGGAGAACGAACCTTGATCGTTTTGTTTTGCAGACGAAGACCGTTGAGCGTGTTTATCGCCTTCTCAGCATCCTCAGGCCGGTGATAGTTAACAAAACCGTAACCTAAACTCTGACCTGTAACAGAAAATAAACCGTCATATTAGACTATTGGATACTTAAAAACAGATAGATACACGTAGATCGATATTTCCGCCTTTTACGATTATTAAAAGGTATGATTCGAAGAAAACGCAGAGTTCGCGTACAGTAAACGCGTGTTCGTTCATTGAGTAAACGAGTACGTGACAGCGACGAGTGTTTTTGAAAAACAGGAAACGCAGGCGGTGCAATACGGCCCTGAGAGATCGCGGCGAGGTCGAATATAAAGCGGCAGAGGCTCGAACCAAACGACGCCCCCGCTACTCCGATGCCCGAAATAGCGTCGCGACGTCCACGCACGTGCTCTCCACTAACGCACGGAATTCAGAGACGGGAGTACGCCAGGCGAAATTACGCTGGATTACGCGCACTCGAACGTGCACGGTCAGTCAGCGCAGCGGAAAAATTCGTCGACCAAGATAACGGAAACACAACGTTGCGTAATCGTTCCTTTATTCCTCGGTCAGCTTCCCGAGATTATCGATAAAGATTCGATGGATTCTTCGACGATGAAAACGTGTGGTGTAGCTCATCCTCTTCGTACGATTGTTCGAAGAAAAGGAAAACTCTGACTGATTGTTGGTATTCTAAAGAAATATCATCTGGAGTGACATTACGAGTGTTTAGTATCATGATAAAAATGTAGGGAATCAATGGGCACGTGATGTTTGAAACCGCGATATTTGTATTATTCAACTTGTGACCTAATGATTTATACTGTGTACCGTAGTTGTATCGCGTCTTTACGAGATTGTATTCGATTTGAAAAGGCTTTCAAAGGGGACTGATACAAAATAAACAGGCGCAGACGAATCGATGCCGAATACTCGACCAAGACTAAACACCGTCCCTCGGTAACGTCTAGAAATCGATAAACAAGTGTAGAAAGACGTAACTTCTTCTTATGTTGAACGTTTATCCGTACTATCGTAATAGTAACTTTCCGCTAAAATTATCACAACAATGAGCAACTGTCTGTTATTCCATCGCACTGGAACAAGGGATTTTCTCCAAATTTTTCAATAACGTTCGTTTAGCATCGACCGCGATAACGGATGCAGTGGAAGTTTAACTTACCGGTGAGTTTATCGCGAATCAACTTGCAGCTCTCCACCTCGCCTATGCTCGCAAAGAGGGATCGAATCTCATCCTGTGTCATGCTCTGTGGCAAATAATTTACAATGAGATTCGTCTTGGACTCTTCCTGCGAGGCCTGTCCGAGGGTGGATCCACCATTTTGTTGCACGACTGTGTCCATTCCGTTCGCCATCATTGCAGTCTTCTACCGAGTTCTCTCTAACTACGTACGAAATCTGAAACAAGAAAGCGTCCTTTTATCGTTACGCAACGAATAGCTGATACGTTTCTTTTCAGCTTCTATGTATTTTGCTAAAATAGTTTCGTCCTCTATCTCTCGGTACTCTCTTGGGTCAGCATCGATAATGTCAATCGTCTGGCGTCTACCGATCGACGATACCTTCTAAAGCTCTTTATTACAATGCAATCGATCACCTTGTTGTTTATTTATCGTGTAAGGAAACAAGTGTGTCACTGAGAACTCAAGAGACAGACAGTGATACTCAACCATTGAAACGTTGTTCGAATATTTTGTAAAATTATAACGATAAATTCCCGGTTTCCATTCGACTACTCGCGGACCCCGAATTTCGCATGTACATTTTTTTTTTTTATTGAAATAATTATCCCAACGATAATATTGATATCTCGCTAGGGGCTCCTCGATAAATTCAACTAACATGTCAAAGTTAGGTTATCGAGGCGACGAGGAAGAACACAGGAAGAAACAGACAAGTATAAACACGGGCTGTCGTTGGAATTTTGAAGGACGTAAAAACGCCTGCTAATCAACACGCTGTAAATGATGCATAAGCTTCTTGCGGCACTGACAATACAAATTCGAAGAGACATAGGTCTTTGCTCATATTAGGTATTTACATGGTAACAAGCATATTTTCGCTAATGAAAACAAAGCATTATAAACAGTTCTTAATACATATATACGAATTGTTCGAATCGATTCGCTTACGACGAAGAATTTTTTTAAGCATTTGAAAAAGGCTTTTTCTTTTTTTTCTTTATTTTTTATTTTCTTTTTTTTTTAGCTATAACCACACGCGAGGATCATTATCTTTCTCGTAGATTAAATTAAAAGCAACTGGAGAAGACAAGACGCGTGGCACGGTTACGGGCAACTTACGAAAATTCATGGTTCACGCAACTGGATGCTGACGTAATCTGACAATGACTTTCAAAACACAGCGTGAAAAGAACAGGCGGAGGTGGTGGTTGGTAGGGACGAGGGTAAGGTCCAATAGAAACGCGGATAATTTAAAGGGGCGACGACCCCCCTTTCTGGTTTAAAGGGCTCGCCTCCCTCGTGCCTTCCCCTTCCGCCCTTCCAACCAAACCACCGAACTCGATGCGTTTACAGGGTGTCCAATATCAATCGTACGTCTACCATTCCGTTCCCTTTTAAAATTTTGTATATCTTTCTTCCAATTAAACTTCGTTATATACCAAATTCTTTCTTCTAACACAACAAATGATATTTTTAGCAAATGTCTAATCAAACGTAGCGAAAATGCCGTGGAAACTTAAAAAATGAATAGACGCAGAAACTTAACGTTTAATATTTTCTAGTTCGAAAGGTCAACGATCTCGACGAACGATCGTCTACCGATTCCTATTCCAACGTACCCGTAAGAAGAATTAAGTAATTTTGATCGAAACACCCGATATGTGGTCGCACACGCCTCGAGCGAAAGAGACAGAAAGCGAACAAAATAAAAGGCGAAAAAAAAAGGGAAAGAGAGAAAGGGGAATTATACGCGATGGCCGTAGGGTGCCGATGGTGTTCATGGTTAAGGCGAATACACACAGCTGCCACGACATGTACGTATATCAGACCCGGCACGAGCTATCGGTGGTGTACATTTTAATTCTCTCTTTCCCTTCCGCCTCCTAGCTTCTGTCAGTCGTTCAACGTAGTCATCAGCTGTCCTTGGAGCCACCCCACGCTGGGAGCCTCTGTGTCTCATGGCTGTGGTCACCCCAATCGAACTGACCACGTTCTCTCATGAGATATCTTTTATTATATGTACAGGATAGATAGCTTTTATCGTATGCATCGAATAATGTGCCGTATCCAACACGAGACATGGGAAAGAATAAACTACGACGGCGGACGCCTGTGTTAATTCAAATTTCCTATTCGAAACGCATCAGACATAGCTTTCGTGTTACGGTTACAGGGTGTCAAAGACCTCCTGGGAGCCTTTCGAAAGGTTTCCAACAACATTTCCTATTAGGGGAATCGAATCCTCTTGAAGGAAAGAAGCCTAACTCAGGACGAACGTTCCACGAAATTTTAAATCCACGAAACCTATATCGCTACGCTCGTGACTAGTAATTTTACAGAAACCTTATACCAGAAAATTATAAGACTCCAAGAGTCCGCCTATAAATATCACGGTTTCTAATTTTCCAAAAAGATATAACAACGCGTTAAGAATAACAAAACTTTTAGTAGAAGCAAAAGATTGTTTGAAGATAATCCGTAGACTGTTGTGTGTATGGCACAGAATGAACCCCTTCGAAAAGTGCCGACGGTATTCTTCAACAGATTGCTTGGTGGGCTTGATGGTGTTTACGAACGAGGCGAAGAAAAAGGCGCGCTCAGCAGTCGGAGAAAATGTCGGAGCCAGCAGTTATCGTAGCCCCGCATCTTCCGTAGTTATCGATCCACGTTCTTTCTGTCTCTGTTACTCCGATGGCCGGCATCGCGATATTTTAGGACGGCAGAATGGAAGCCGAGAAACCCCATTGTCGGACGAGAAGAACGCATCGAAAAAGTATCGTTCGCCGGTGACTTCGAAACGCGACTCCTGTGCCACCGTCATTATCCGACGACAATGGACGTTATGCATGGATGCGTGTACGCGCAACCTGGGGTTGTCCGCGCCACAATGCGGAAAGCCACCCCCTTTCGCCAGACTGGGCCTCGCAAAAGTCGATCTCCGTTTACGATCGTCTCTCGGGGAATCGTTCAGCGACAGATAGCCTTCCACGTTTCTTTATCGCTTTCAATTTTAACTCACAGGTGTTTAAGTATCGTATATCGAATCTAATTTTTTTGAAGACAGAGATTACGAAACGAGATTGAAAATTACGATAATTACGGTTTCATATACTTTGTAAAGCGCTTAACGATATGGAAAAATTATGCGAAGTGTTACGCGTAATTTCTACTTAATGATCCTCGGTGTAATGAACTGCAACTGGAATTAGAGTTCGTACGGAACTTTGCTAAGAGTACAACCTGCTTTTATTACCTTGAAACTATAGTCCGTCATTTATAATTCGATGTTGTAAATTAAGGGATTAATATACTATAAATAATGCAGCTAACAGAACTAACGAAGAAGCGAGGATTCAATATCCTTGAGGGGAGGATATCCGGAGATTTCCCCGAAGACAATCTAAATTTCGAACGAAGGTAGCAGGTGGGTCTTGCAGGGGGTTAAAGTTCGATTTTCACGTACGCTTGGCAGATACGATCTTCAGCCGGTGGCCAGGTGGCCATGGCGACGGATCGTGAAAATCGCGTGGCCGGGACCGATCAATACGAGCGCGACTCCTCGGTCCCTGCCTCGCTGGTTCACCCCTCCCTCACCCTTCCTTCTATCTTTCTCGCTCGGTCGTGGTTCGGGAGTTGTCTCCCTCTTTCTCGCTTTCTGTGGTGCGCGCACGAGACCCCTTCCTCTCGCTACAATTCCAAGGGAATCCCCTCCCGCGCTCGCTGACGCCCCTTTCCGCGCGAGAAAGCACACACGCACGCACGCATGTACACGCGAGCCATGCAAAAACGCAGTAGCTCGTCCTGCTATCGGAAAGGAATATGTAGCAGCGGCACACAGCAGAGGGGAAAAGGGTAAAGGCAAGTGGCGGTCATGAGGATGATGGTGGGACCGAAGCGGCGGACGGGTGGCGTGTAGAAAGAACGACGACGACGAAAGCATGCAGAAAGCAAAGGGTGAGAATGAGAATGTGCCACGAAACTCGCAAGGCACGTGCTCCGAAACCCCTCGAAGAACGAGCTGCTGCACACGCAGCATCCAGCGTATCTCTCACTGACAATGAGATATTTGCGATTAAAGTGGATGGAAGACAGATGAAAATCGGGAAACCCGAGCAAGCGAAGAGAACGAATCTTCAACCCGGCTTACCTGTTTCCACGGTCTTTTCAGGATCCACACCTTTCTATCTTTACGATCGATGCACGCGTAAGCACACGACACACATCCACACAGAAACACAGAAAACACTTTTCTTTATTTTTTCGAGACGCGACACTCTCCGTACTATTTCTTTTCCTCTCCGTCTCTCGACGTTTATTCCCTTTTCTCTTCCGAAAGCTCTTTTCGGTCGCACGCGAAACCGAGCAACGTGCAACTGGCCCGTGCTACGCGACTACTCTCGTGGTGCTGATCGATGTATCGCGCCGGTCCCTGGTCTTCTCTCTAACTCTCTCTCTTTACGTGCACCTACTATCACGCTCTCGCACCGCCGCCCGGAACAGAAGGGGAAATCAATGAAAGAAAAGTACGACGCGAGCGCTCGTAAATCGGCATTTATGCTCGCCTCCTGGTCGACGGTCCCTCGGTTTCACTTTGACGAGCACATACGTGTGAGTGTACGTGTATGTGTACGAGCGGCTCTGCCGAAAATTAGTCGCGTTCGATATCGTCGTAAAACGGGATCACCAAATTTCGTATTCGTCGATCGTGATAAAGAAAACGAGGGGTCGGAGGTATACGGTGGGTATGATGTAAACGTACGTGTATATGTGCGCGTGCGCGTATGTGTGTATGTATGTGTGTAAAAAAAATAGAATACGATATACGTGTGTATGTATATGCGTGTATATGTGAATGTGTAGAGGGTTACGCGAGACTAGAAATTAAAGCGTTAAACACTATACTAAGGAAACGGAAATAACGATACAACACGGGCGGAGGCTGCCTAGAGACTGGACACGCCAGTCGCGTTCAAGCGGCTTGCACAGCTCGGCGAGCTCGTTCGGTCAACGTCGGCTTGATTCGGTAGCGATCGCGCACCCTCGGCTAAGCTCGTCGCCAGCCCACTACGAACCCCTCGTTTTATTACGTATCTCCTCCTACCGACTCGCGCGTACGCTGCGAGGGGTTGCCGATCGAACTAATAAGAGACGTATGCGCGTTCTTAAATAAACTGTGACCTCCCATCGCCGATCGAACTCTTTGGCCCCTCTAAACATCCTTTTTTTCCCCTCGTCTAGTTTTGCCAAATTTCCAATTTCCACGCTGTATCACGGCGTTTAAATTATTTGCAAAGTAAAGCTATAAATCTTTCACGGTTCGCTCTTGAACGCTTACAATCTCGAGAGTCGAGTAGCGCGTCACGATTTTTGTTTATTCTGTCGTTCGGTTTAAAAGTAACACCTGTCACTTTGTTTCAATCGCGTCCTGTTAACAAGAGAGTCGACAAAGTACAGACAGTTCGCATACAATATTTCAGTGTCCCCTCGAGATGTTTGCAGGGGTTTGTTCGTTAGGAAATGTTTGCAACATGGCTCCCCGACATTACGAGGCAGAAGGTATACCGCCCTCCTCCAGCCTCCCTCACCCTGCTTGCATCACCCCTTGCATCAGATCATGACCACCCCTTCACGGATTTTGACCCCCGTCGTCTCGGTGCGCTATCGCGTCGATACAAGAGTACTTTTACCCCTTACGAGGCCGCACTCGATCGGTAGTGAACTCGAAACCATGAATTACATCGTCGAAACTCGCTGGTGGCCATTTGCCAAAGACCATGAAATTGAATCTTTCGAGGAGAACCGGCAAGAAAAAAAAAAGAAAAATCCGCGTCTGACAAAACACTACAACTCGCGCGAGAGTCAAAGTCAACGAGGTGAAAAATCTCAAGGATAAAGTCGACGTACTCGGGGAACCTTCTGCCTGATTATCCCACTCCAATTGCTTTACTTTGATTCATCGATCGTCGCTTTCAACGTACGCCCTTTATGCTCGATTTGTTTAGAGTTTTGCCATTTTAGATTTTTGGCACTGTTTTCACCCTTTTCGCTACGAATAATTTCCAAAAGCGACGCAAGTGGCTGGCCACGAACGCGGGGAAGTAACGAAGAAGAATCCCTGACCTTACCCTGGCTTTATCTCCGTAGATCGAGCGAGGCCAGTCTCGAAAATGACAGTACGCCAAAATTATGCACCGCTGACGAAACAAGCCGAGCAACACTTGGCGGTCGTGCCAATAACCGCAAGTTCGTGTTTTCGGAAATTCATTTCCGTTATATTACGTCACTGCGCCAAACGAATCAAACTATTTTGCGAGAACTTCCTGGACACGCATCTGTTTGATGCATCCTCGCCTTGAATCATTTTTAAAGCTATTGCGCAAACTTACGAAAATTTAATAGCGATCATTCGCCAGTCTTTTTATAAATGTCCGAGAGGTCTCTGCACTTTGCAGCCGGTTAGAGAGAACAGCGAATTGACTCGAAAGAATTCGCGTTATGTTAACCGTTGAATGCTCCAAAAGCACGAGTAATCGGCACACAGCTCGTCGGTGCATGCACCAACTGTCCACCAACCATCTACCACTGAAATTATAAATACATCCACGTATAAACACTATAAATATACACGATGGAGTTATACGGAAAAGCCTGTCTTGGCCTCATATCTATGCATTGGAACGACGATAAGCCGTATCATCGATCTACTCAGATTTTTCGATATAATTAGGAACAGCGAAAACATCTTGCCTTCGTAACGAAAGTACAATTTATACTTTACATCGCTGCCTCTATCAATTTCTCCTTTAAAATCACTATCGAAAAACGACCTTTACATTCGCTCGCCTTAACGAATTAAACAAAGAAACGATTTTTTCGATTGACTTCCTGCTTTCGTTGGGACACGAACGATTGACCAGGTTCTTTGCATATTACGTACATGACCGGACCTAACGTTGACGAAAGAAAGAGAACGAGGGAGCAAGTCGGTATTGTCTAGCCACATGAGAAAAGAGGGAACGAAACTGGGACCGGGGTACGGGACTTGCAACAGATGCGAAACGGTATGCAGAAAAAAATAGGGACACGTAGTGGACGCATATGCGAACGCGTTTCATTATGTTCGGTGGCTTTAAAACCGGCCACACGGTGCGACAGGAAGTTGTCACCGCATTACCGTTGGAATTATGAAAGTTTGCCGGCCTCTGATCGCCTTAGCGACAACCAACGGCGAAACAATATTCTGGTCGTTGAACCAAGAGGGAAATTTGTCCTTATTAATGTCTAGAATCGCTTTTTATTCTCGCTCGTACGACCGATAGTTTCGTAATTTCGATTTGCGCGTAATGTTTTACGAACGTTTCGATAAAGAAACGCGTTACACGCAGTTTTCAGCGAGAAAGATTTAATATCCTCCTGTGGAAGAGATCAAAAGCGTGAAGAAACATAGATCGTGAATCGTTCGTAGGTTGACAAACGTGAATCGAACAACCCTGTTCTTTCGTTCGGTTATGATCCAGCTGTCGAAGTCTACGTTTTTGGGGTTTGGCCCCACCTTCGTCATCGATCCGCCGATACGACCGTGCACGAGCATAATTCTACTCAGCTCCGCCACGGGAGCAGTAATTCCGTCCGTGAAGTTTTCCTAGGGTCACTGAACTCCCGGTGAGATTCGTCGATAATCCACCAACTTTCCTATTTCTCGACCTATAGGCATTCCGTGAGGAATAAGTTCGACGCGTGACGAAAACAACTGAAATACGACAATGAAAGTAACGGAAAGAGCAACGGTAAACGTTGATAAAAATAGTTCCCTAAATACAAAGTTAAACATGCGAGGGGATAAATAATTATAAAGGGCGTATAAATAATTCTCAACGACCAAGAGAACGTTTCACCTCTGCTATAGTCGATGGATATGCATATTCCGCGTCAGAGGGTCGAACGTTGGTATTATCGTTGAAAACGATAGAAGAGGGATGACGATTTTAACGAGCATCTGCACGAAACAGACGAGCCGACCCCACCTAGGGAAACAGAGGCCGAATGTGGTGAATCGATCAAGCGAGCATGTAATCGCTGTGCTAATTAAGGTGCGATCGATCGATTCGTTGGTGGTCGCGCTTCGGCGTCGCTTCTCTCGTCGTCGTTTCAACGCAATTGTACGCGTCGATCCGTGGATCGTTTCTCTCTCACGAGGCAATGATCGTATCACAAAGTACCCAGGGAAACCTTACTACTCTCCTCGAAGACCACAAAGAGTGATTACGTAAAGTAAACAAATGCTCGTGAAGAGAAAAGTAGCGTCCGGTCATAGCCGGATGATCGAAAAATTCTTTTCGCCTACGATGGTACGCGCCATGATTTTCATACGTCGTACCGATTAAACGAAGAAAAAGCTATCGGGGCTACCTATGTCGTTAACTTAAGCGTCATCGACGTCACGGGCAAAGGAATGGAAATGAAATGAGCCGGTTAATGAAATTCGACGCTGTAACTCCGTTCAGGGTCTCAGAGAGACTTCAAAGATAGCGATAGAAATATGCAACATCAAACGAGACAGGACAATTTTCACGGCACCACTCGTGTCGAGACCATCGTTTATTCAAAGACCTAGGGTGATGTTTAATAGGAGAGCCACGTCGGCTACCTCCATTCCCTATATTGCCGTCGTTTTCGTCCTCGATAACTCGTTAGCAGGATTAGCGTAGCTCTGTTTAAACTCGAACGAAGTTTCGATAGATTGCCGCGGTGCGTGGGTACACGCATCCGCAAGGGTGGCGTTGGCAGGATGCTCGGCGTTGTCAACGTTAATACCGTATAAATCTCGGGAAGGGGACGGCGCGTGTGTGACGCGTACGATGCAATCATATTACGTATGATGGACGAAGAGTCGCGAATAGAACGGAGGAAAATCGAGAGAAAAAGAATGACGAATGGACGGAGGGAGAAGAGACGAGAGAAACAGGGTGAGACAGAGAGGTAGAGAAGCTCCATTGATTGGTCGGTGGTACGGTGGAACGTTGCAGTTGCCCTGGGGGTATATGAACCCCGGCACGGCACTCTCTCTCTCTCTCTCTCTCTCTTCTCGCTCTTCCACCCTCCTCCCCATAGTTTACCCTCGCTACGATTTTACCCCACGGCAAAACGCAGGCGCGTCACATGGACCCAGAAACGATCAATACGAGCTTCCCCAACTAGACCTAGTCTCTCTCCCACTTGCCGCTTTTCTATCCTTCTTTCACAACCATTCCACTCTATCATCCTCCTACTAGGTTCGCAACCCTCGGTCAATCTTTGATATCGCGTTGTTCGCCTGGGAATTTTCATAGAAAAAGACCCGAAAGAGGAGAAGTAACGTACGATGCTTAGACGTTAGAGGAGCTATGTCTCTTAGCTTCTTCCTTTCTCCGCTCGATATTTTCATCTTGCGTTTCGTTGGAACAATCTGGTTCAGAAATGAAATATTCTCACGGATCGAAACGAGCGTAATGAAGAAATAAAAGATGGCGATATTGTAATTTCTCTGGCACAAAAAGGCGGAACGAAAAACATAGGAAAACGGAAGGAAGCGATACTGTAAGATCGTGTTCGCTGAAAACGTTCATTGGCACACTATCTAACACCCCTTTATCCCTCTCACGCACCATTGTGATCGAGGCCATCGCGGACGGAAGCGTCCCTCTCGAGACTTCCTGCTTGTCCTCGACGAGGACCCGCAGTGCCAGTTGCTCCATCCTGGATCTGCTTGATCCTTCATGCACACTCTCGCCGTTTTCCATCATCTTGTTACCGAACATATTCAACATATTCGATCGACCGTGTTTTTCGAGACCGTATTTCTCTCTCGTTTTCAGTTTCTCGTCTTTCTTTTTTTCCTCGTTTAATTATGACTTTTTTTCTTTCGATTCTTTTTTTTCCGTTTGCTCTTTCGCCGGTTGCTCCGCAAGTGGGAAGAAGGATTCGAACTGAAAGTTGGCCGGAGAACCGTGGGTTTGGAGTCTGCGTTCGCGTTCTCCTGGCCACGTTGCTTTCGGCTGCCACGCCCAAACTTCTCTAGCCCGCGATACTGCGCCGTAGAAAAACGTCAGTTGTTGCGCGCCGATATTTTCACCGTGTTCCACGGATAGAAATACTTTTTAAATCGTGCTTATCGTAACTGAGAATTCACGCCCAATGTCAATCGATTGCTATGACGAATTAACATTTCAATTCCTTTTACACCAAGATCGGTATCTATATCTTTTTCTCTGATGGGATAACGATAAATTTAAATCAATTTGAATTTGAAATGAAGCTGAAACGAATTTAACAAAATTTGAAATATGTTTCTACGAAGCAATGAGGGGAAAACGATCCCCGTAATCGGCCAAGAGAACGCGAGAAAAATAAGTTCGATAAAGGAGAATGATCATGGCTGCCGGAAGGATCCTTCGTTTGGTCCTGTATAAAGGATGTTCCGGCAAAGGGTTTACAAACATATATTATAATGATCGGCACCTGATAGCGCGCTATCAAAACACATAGATCGATATACATAGAGATCGATAATAATGTTTGCAATTATAACGGTAATAATAACAACAATAATAACAAGATAAGAATAGAACAATAATAATAATTCGAAGGTCAGAATCACAGAAGCAACAAAAGTAAAGAAACAAATGAACATACCGGTTAACGATGAAAATCAGTGGTTGGAGGATGCCGATATCTGGGCGTAGAACGAAACGACGGTGGGTTAATGTTTTTTTTTGCGTTTTTATTAGTTTTTTTTTTTTAATGAAGTGTTATCTCTGCCTTTTTTTTGTATATATTATCTATATCGCTAGATTTTCATTTCGTTGTTATCTCGTTTGATGCTCGTTCTTTGTTCCGTTTCGTATTTAATTCTCGTTCTTTAAACGACGATGTGTGCGTGTTTCGTTTATCCGTTTGTTCGTTTATTTTTCGTTCTGAACCGTGCCCGTGTTTTACGCGATAATTTTAATCGATTTTTAAACGGCCAAGTTTGTCGAATTACGGCGACGAATTACAAGTTCAAGTCCTTCTCCAGATATCTCTCTCGCACTTTCTTCGATCGACAACGAAGAATTACAGTCTATACTTTATAAAAACAATCGAACCTACTGGATACACGACGATCGCACGTACATATGACACTTGATTTGTTAATGTATCGACGAAACGAAAGGGGGAAAAAAATGACGAAGAAAATCACGGAACACACCCTCGAGCGTCTCTCTTTCACACCCACCGGCCAACACTATTACTTCGTCTTTCTCCCTCTACCTCTCCCTTTCTCATCCGTACGTTTTCCTTTTTCCTTCTCCTCAAGACCTCTTCTGCCGACTAAAGGATCTTCCAGACGACGATTCCTGCTCTCTGTATTTTTAACACCAACCTCGTCAACGTATCGCACACTGAATTATCTTCGTGGAGAACCGGCGACGTATATTTTATCCTCGTAGCTTTAATTATCTTTTTCTTTTCCTTCGTTCTTTCTCTCTTTCTTTTTTAGACGAAGTTAGAAGGAGAGCCGCGTGCACGTCGATCGAGATCGATCTTCGAGAAGCTGACCGTTCCAGGAGGCGAAGGGATAAAAATAAGGATCCGGGAAGGGGGGGTAGAAATGGACGAACGAAATCATAAGATCCCCGACGAAGACGCGCGTGAAAGAACGTGGTACGACGATCCAAGTCTGTTGACGAAATTTCTTTCTCCGCTGACCGATCGATTTCAACTTCGATTATTTTGTTTTACTCGTTTTCTATTAATCGTGTTTTCTATTGATTACTGTTG